CACAGCTCCTTTTACCCACAACATACTTCTAGTTATCTGGAAGAAAATATGATGTATACCAAAAGGCTGAGACATGGTTGGAAGAAAGAGAGAGCAAGCATCAGAACTGAAACATATTGTAAGGATGGTGGAATAATCAGAGCAGGAACTTAAAACAACTCTGATTAAAATGCTAAGAATTCTAGTGGATGAAATAAACAGCATGCAAGAACAGATGGGAAATGCAAGCAGAGAGATGGAAAATTTAAGAAAAAATGAAAAAGAAGGCTATATATAAATATTGACAGATATGAATGGTGTCTTGGTTCATTACCAAAGCTGGACATACATGAGGAACAAATCTGATTTCCAAAATACGTGGAAACTTCCAAGATGGAAAAAATCAAATAGTTTAAAAAAACCACCAGAATTTAGAAACAGAAAATATTTGACCTGTTCTCTCAAAATATCCTATTGAACTCTATTCTTTTTTCTATAATGATATGACTTGTAGCCAAATAACAGTTGCTTTCACATTACTGAACCCTCAGAAGATGAAACAGTATGAGGGAGCTACTTTATGTACTATGTTGTCCTTAGCCATTTAGCCATTGATGAGCACTTAGATTGTCTCTTACTGTGGCTGTTGTAGATGATGATTCAAAATGAACATAGAACTATGAATATCTCTTCAACATGCTACTTTCATTGCTTTTATTATATAAACATATGTATATGTATATATGTATATTATCCAGAGGTGAGAGTTCTGGATCATATAGTATTTCCATTTTAGTTTTATAGATCATTTCATTCAGTTTTTCCTAAAGACTATATTGATATTCACTTCCATCAACTCTGTGTAAGAGTTCCCTTTTTTCTACATGCTTGAACATGCTTATCATATTTGTTTTAATAATAACCATTCCTACAGTGTAAGGTCGCATCCCATTGTAATTTTATTTAGCATTTCCTTGATGATTTGAGATCCTGGATTTTTTTTTCATTTATTGGCCATTTATATCTGTTTTAAGAACTGTTTGCCCAGTTTTAATCAAGTTTATTTCCTTACTATTAAGATTTTTAGTTATATATATATACTTATATATATGTGTGTGTATATATATACTTATATACGTGTGTATATATATGTGTATATATATCTATATCTATAGATATATATATATATATGATATTAGGTCTTCACCAGATGTGTAGCTTACAAAAAAATTCTTTTCACACTCCAAGAACTACTTTTTATTCAGTTATTTGATGTGCAGAAATGTCATACTTAAATAGAATCCTATTTGTCTTTCTTTCTTTTGTTGTCTATGCTTTCGGAGTCCATACAAGAAATCACCCAACCAATGTCATGAGGCTTTTCTTCTGTTTTCCTTTACCAGCTTTATGATATCAGCTCTTACTTTTAAGTGTTCTTACATTTTTTTCTTTTTCTTTTTTTTATTGTGAAAATACCATACAGAGGGGTTACAATTACATGGGCAAAGTAATGAATACATTTCTTATCAAGCATTGTTGCCTCCTCCTGAATTATTTTTTGTTTATAGTGTGAGATAAGGGTCCATTTCTCTTTGGGGAAATGTGAATATTTAGTTTTCTTCCAACCATTTTTAAAGAGGCCATTCTTCTACAAAGTGTGCTTTTGGCACTATTGCCAAAAAATCAATTGACTGCAAATACTTGAGTTTATTTTTGGGCTTTCTGTCCTATTCCATTGGTTGATGTGTCTGATTTTAACACTAGCACCATCTGTTTTGATTATAATAGCTTTATAATACATAGTTGGCCCATAATCCCTATCTGTGGATTCTGCATATGTGAATTCAGGAAACCACAGACTAAAAATTTGAAAAGGAACTGTATATGAATTAGACATGGATGGATTTTTTTCTTGTCATTATTCCCTAAACTATTATAACAGTTATTAACATAACATTTAAATTGTAGTATTCTTAGTAATCTGGAAATGATTTAAAGTACAGGCTATTTGCATAGGTTATATATAATGCTAAACCATTTTATATAAGAGAATTATGCATGTACAGATTTTGATTTCCTCAGGGATATACCAGTTTTCAGTGGTGATGCTTATAGCTACCTCTGGAATGTATTGGTTGTTTAGTCTTTGCTGGTTCTATAAGAATCTTAGGAATTTTTTTTCTGTTTGTGTGCAAAATGAAACTGAAGTATTGAAAGAAATTTCACTGAATCTGTATCTTACTTTGGATAGTAATTTCCTAATCCTTGAACACAGTGTATCCTTCCATTTATTTGTGTCTTTCAGATTTTTCGTCTGTGTTTTATAGTTTACAGTATATAGATCTTTTACTTCCTTTATCAAATTTACACTTATTTTATTTGGGAAGAGGAGTCAAATTCCATTATAATTGAATTGTTTTCTTAATTTTTGATAGGTGCTGGTTGTATACAAACACTACTGATTTTTGTGTGTTGATTTTGTAGTTTGCAACTTTACTGAATGTATAGATTATATTTTTTTAATTTTTTTAATTTTTAAGTGTTACTATGGCAGTAATGTATAAAGGGATTAAGATTACATAAGTCAGGTAATGAGTACATTTCTTTTTGGACAGTGTCACCCTTCCCTCAATTCTAAGTTTTTTGGTGAAGGCAATTTTATTACTTGTCCAGAATGAAGGCCTCTTATTTCATCTTGCCTAACTACTGTGCTAGGATTTGCAGGGCTTGTTGAATAGATGTGATGAATATTTGCACCTGGTCCTGTTTTTTTATCTATAGGAAGAGATTTCAACCTTTCACTATTGAATATGATGTTTGCTCTGAGCTATGCAGTGTAAATCTCAATGGTGACAGTACATAACCTATCTGAAGGGTAGAATGTTCTTTCTAGATTGGTTGTGATCTATAAAGATTCATATGTTATTAGCATGGTGATGATTGCAAGGACAAATATCTTTTGTCATAGGATATAGAAATTAGAAACTACTCAAAAAGTACTTTGTAAGGTGAATAAACTGTGTATCCATAAAATGGAAAAAAAAAACAATTTAGGCAGGGGGGGTGTAGTTGAGGAGGTGGGAGGGAGGGGATGGTAGGGGAAAAACAAAGGAGGAGGCAACAATGCTGGATAAGAAGTGTACTCATTACCTTGTTCATGTAACTGTAACCCCTCTACAGTATTTTCACAATAAAAAAAACCTTATTTAAAAAATGAAAAAAACTATTCATTGACACAAAGCATGAGGGAATTTTTAATGCATTTTTTTGCAAATTCAAAAAATAGACCAAGAATACAGACCAGTAGTTACCACAGACTGGGTCATAATCCAAAGAATTATGTACATATTCATATTCCATACTTAGAGAAGAATATAAAATGAACGAACCATTCCATAATAATAATTGACACATGCAATATTTATTTTTGAATGCTAACACGGCTGAGCAGAAGGTAAAGAAGAAACCAGATATCTCCCCCAAAGCAGTTAAAAGAGAAAATAGTTACCTTGCTTTATGGCAAGATGTCACACACTACTTTAATCAAATAGTCTGGTAAATAGCACCCATAATAAAAACTACACCCACCTTGTCTAGTGCATTAATATGAATGCCTCACCTGTGTTTATCCTCCTCCTAAATGCACATCCTTAATCAGGTTTTGAGAAAACATCGAACATAAATTGGCGTTATTCTATAAAGTAACCGATCTATGTTCAGCTCTCAGGAGAGACTGAGGAACTTTTATGGACTAGAGAAACTAAGAGATATGAAAATTAAGTACACTGTGCATTCATGGAAATGATCCTGGAATACAAAAATAAATTTGTGAAGAAGCTGGTGAAATGCAAAGAAACTCTCAAGTTCAATCCACAGTATTTCACTAATGTTAATTTTTAATTTAGAAGGTTTTTTATACTGTAGTTATGTAAGATGTGAACAGGAGAAGCTGGGCATATGGAAACTCAATGTACTATCTTCACAAGACTGAAATTATTTCAAAATAAAAGTGAAGTATGGATGTTTGAGTCAACATTTACTTTCATGTATCTCTCAATCACAAGCAACCGGTGGAAGAACCCTAGCGTCAAATACCTATGCATGATTAATTTGTGGTTTATTTAAAATACACTTTGGTGGTACTTATTTTGGTTGATTGTAAAGAATTAATAACCAGAGTTTAATAGACAAAGGAAGCAGTTGAATTGGGCAGCTGAGCTAAGACAGACTCCTATTATGCTTTCTTAATTTGATTTTTAGAATTGCTACCAAATCTGCTTCTTAATTTTTCCCTATCCCCCCCTCCTTTTTTTTAAAGGTGTTATGATTGCAGATGTAAATGTCCGGTTGAAGAAATAGAGATTCCCAAAAGGGGATAAGGCAATTGGGGGCTTCACAGTGGCTGTCAGAGTGCTGTGTTGGGAAAATAGCACCTAAGATGCCACAGTACTGTGCATGGCACCATGTTCCTACTGGCAGTTTTACCTGGAATTTGGATATTAGGAATTATCCTGTTTTTTGTTTTTGTTGTTTTGTTTTGTTTTTGTGATTTGGCAGAGATAGCTCAGTGCTATCCATTGGGTTCAACCTGTAATCAATTCTTGTTTTCTATATGCTTAGTGCTATGAAGAGCCCTATAGATACACAGAAGTCTAAATCCTGATCCCTGCCTCCAAAGCCCCCACTTGCATGAAAGACAAACAGAATTTTTTTGAGATGTTATGACCATACTTCTATTATCTCTTCTTTCTATTATACATCTGTGGTCTCTGGTGAATATTTGAACTTGCTGAATCAGTTTCCTTATCTGTAATGTACAGTGCTACTGTTGATGATCATTAGATTGATGATCATTAGTCCTTGGCACATAGGCCACACTCAGTAAGTGCTGATTGTGATTATGGTGGCTGCTACCAATGCTGATAGATAGTTAGGAAACCAGAGGATTTATGACACTAAAACACTTTTTCATTGAATATTGTGGAGTTCTTGGCTGAGTTTTTTTGTTTACTTTATTACAGAGATGATGAAGAGAAAAAAAAGTCTCCTTCGGAAGGTACTGATGAGAAGGCCAACGGAACACATCCAAAGACCATCAGCCGAATTGGCAGTACAACTAACCCATTTTTGGACATTCCTCATGACCCAAATGCTGCTGTGTACAAAAGTGGATTCTTGGCTCGGAAAATCCATGCAGATATGGATGGAAAGAAGAGTAAGCATCATTGTTGTCACTTTTTGTTTCATTTATTTTATCTTTAGGCTCAAATTTTAAAGTGGATTTATTGAAATAAAGTCAAGAATGAGGAAATTATGTTTATCTAGAGAAATATTCTTGAAGTTTGAGAAAGCCTCTAGTTCTACATAAGAGACCCACCTGTTGCTTGATCTTTTTTAAACAGTATTATAAAGCTCTTAAATGAAGAGTATTCATTTCCCAGTCTCTCAGTTTTTCACATAACCAGGGCTTCAGCAACTAATATTGACTACTGCCTGTGTACTAGGCACCAAATACAATAGCAGAGTTATTATTATCATGGGGTTTACATTTCTAGTGGTTGAAGGAAAGATTGAATTTATAAAACAGATTAATCAGTGGCACAGTGCTTCAGAGACAAAAGAAGAAATGAGGAAATTCATATCCAAAGCATAGGCCCAATGGTTGGCCTTTGACAAGATGCTCAGATGACAAGACAGCATGGCATAATTATTGCTAGGACATGAAGGAATCCCATATTTGATGTCTTTTGTTTATTTTCTGAGAGCAAATGTAAGTTTGAGATGAATGGAGTATGTTCACATAGCTAGAAGAATTTTGTGGAGAGTGAAATGACAATTTGACATAGTTGAATAGGCTAAGACAAGCTGACACGTATGCACAAAATAACCAGGCTTTGCTTCCAGGGTGTCCCCATCTACCTATTATAGAAAGAGACATAAAGGGAAGGGGTGGGTAGTAGCACAGTTTTTATCTGTGCATGGGCATTTTTTGTTAAGATGTTAGCATATTTTATGTAGGTTTCAGTTAGAAGAAATATTATGCTAGTGCCCTTTATACTGACTGATACCAAATGCAAGTTCTTTAGGAGTACCTCCTAAAGAAGGTACTATCAGCCTAGCAGATTTCCTTTTTCTCTAGCAACACTGTGTCAAGTTCCAATAGATGCAAGTGACATCAGTTGAAAGTAGCCTAGGCAAAGGACATACTTGGAAATAAAAGATTATCACCAGAATACTGTCCATTTCCATCTCTGCATGATGTATATTTTAGTGTTTTCTTTCGTATGAAGCTCCTTAGATATGGCTGGATACAGTGCTAGGAGGGTCCGTACAGATGTGTTGAGTTTCAGTAACAAAGAACATCCTAATTTTTCTCTCTTAGTACATTCTAGGACAGGACTGATGTGAGTGACTAAGGGGATGAATGCCATGACTGACAGCACCATTTGGTTGCAATAGTTAGGGGAAATTTTCTCAAGAAGGAATAACATGCAGATCTCAGAGAAAGGGAGTTTTGGGGAGACATGTCAATAGATAATCATATTTGGCTCCAGTGGGCACACACATCTATATACATTGAGTTTATACAATATGTAAACTGAAAATAATATGATTTTCTACTTAAGACCACAAATATATTCATCTCTCTTTACCATGCGAACAGCTGCAGCTTTGAACTCTAAGACTGATATTTATGTTGTGATTTTTTCCTCCAGTCAAAGATGGTTATAGCTTCAATCCATAGGCTAACTGAAAAATAGTGTCTGATTGATGAATACATATAAAAATAGGGACACACACACACACACACACACACGAGTAATTAAAGTGAATCCAATAAGTCCAGGATGCTGATGGTGGTACATTCCTATAATCCCAGTACTAGGGAGTAGAGACAGCGGACTTGTAAATATTTTTTTCTTTAAATAGAAAAATATTCTTTACTTTTATCCTATGCCTGCTGACAAGAAATTTCTCATGTTTTATCATCTGAGCACTCTGTAATTCACCTTAATTTGAGGAATTAATGTGTAATATGTTTGGAATTTTTGGCAGCATTTTCTTTCTCTTTCAGTATTCTAAAATACTGTGCCATTGTTTCCTACCTGGCATGGTTTCAGGTGACAAGTCTGTTTTCCCTCTTACCGTTGTTTCAGTCCTCTCTACCTAACATGGTTTTGTTCCCTGTGAATGCTTTCTTTACCCTGAATTTCAGCATTATTATTATGAGGTGTCTTTTTATGCTTTTTCCTTGTGTTTTTTCGTGTGTTTGTTCAGGTTCTTGCATTTGTATGTTTATATTCTTCACCAGTTTGGGAAAATTTAACTGTTCTTTTGTTTCCATTGTGGTAGAAATGTAACGCAAGACCTGTATTCTCCCACTGAGTTCCATCTCCTGCCCTGGACCTTATTTCTTAAAACTCTCATGTGCTTCCTTCTGGGACTTATTTTCTGTGTTAAATCTCTTAATACTATTCAGAAGCTACCCTTAGATGCAGCTTTGGATTCTAAATTTAAATGTTTAATTTTTTTCCTATTTGCTTTTGTCCTTTCAGTACTTAATTTAAATAATTTTATCATTCTAATATACTGTCATATTTTTAATTTAATATATTTATCATATTTAGAACTATTTTCTATCCTCCATTTTGAGTAACCTTGATTATATTTATTTTAATAGCTATTTAGAGTTGGTGCTTTCTAGTCTTTTCCTTTCTATCATTTTACATTGATTGACTTTTCTTTTGGGGATGGGGGTGGAGGAGAAGGGCAATCATGGGGCTTGACCTGAACAACTGGGCCATATCCCTGACCTTTTTTTCCAAAGCTAGTGTTCTGCCACTTGAGCCACAACTTTACTCCTGGCTTTTTGGGGGTTAAATGGGAATGAGTTATGGACTTTCCTACCTGGGCTGGCTTTGAATCATGCTCCTCAGACTCAGCCTCCTGACTACTAGGATTACAGTCATGAGTCAGTGCTGTGCAGCTCATTTTTCCTTTTTACTACTATACTTTGTGCTTTCCTTTTGTTTGTATTCTTACACATTTTTTGAATGGCAGATGTTATACATCTTTTATTTTGTGGACCCTAGACTTAGTGTTGGATTTTCTTCTGGTATGTAGATAAATAACATAGATTAACTGTATTCTTTCAAAGCTTGCCTGTATCTTTTATTATGACACTGTAGAACAAGCTTTTCTCTGGCACTTACTGTGTTCCATTAATAAGGCATTATTACCCATCCCAGACTTCTTCAGTGCTCCATGTATCACACTCTGACCAGTGAAGACACACAATTTCTAGCCCTGTGTGAGCTATTGAAATTGTTTATTCCATTCTTTTTCAGTAGTTCTTTCCTGCACCTTGGCTTATTTTCTTTTACCTTTGCTCAGATCAGCAAACCCCAGCTGGGGGAATTCTAGTAGATCTCCAGAACCTTCTCTTTGTGTAGTTGTCTCCTCTCAATCACCTGCTCTACATATTCTACCCCAGCCTCAACAGACCCCTTTGTGTCTTCATCTTGGAAGGGCTTTAGACACTGTTTAGAAAACCTTTCTCACTATGAGAGCTGAGATCTTTTCCCCAAACAATAAACTGGGTCTGCCTCATTCATTTCTTCCTTCTCTGAACCACAGTTCAGTGCTGCTATTGAACAGCATCTAAAAACATCATTTTTTATATTTATGTACTTATTCATTGTACATATATTTTCCCCTAATTGTTACTGTAAGGAAGTTAATATAAGAAGTTGTTAATTCAAGGGCATGAGCAGATATAAACTGATTACCAATTTCCTTGTGAAGAAATCCTCTTTGCTTCAGACCTCAAAACCTAATATGAGCTAATCTATAAAGTGATCAGAAATTCAAAGCATTTATGTACAAGCAAGCTGTTTAGATGTACTTGCAACATCTAGAACAGAGTTATGTCCTGTCCACATGTTCTTTCTCCCTCTTCCATGTGTTGAGTTTTCATGTGTTGGGTTGAACTAATTTAAGGTATGTTGCTGCTTTTTATTTTTATTTTAAAGGATGCTGGGGTTGGACCCACTCAGTCACTGATTTTCTGCAACCAAGTATATCATGTAGCTCAGACCTACCTTGAACTTGCTGGTCTCAAAGATGACATCCTCCTACATGGGATTATAGGCATATATTACCACACCCAGCTGGAGCGTCTTAGTATAACAGAAAGCCTAAACTTTTTCTGAATGCTTCTCTTTTTCTTTTTTAAGGAAGCATACTCATTTCTAATTTTGAAATGTCATTTTTCATTTTGTGTACAAATCCAGTATTTTCATTTGTTTTTAGGGTTTTTGTTTTTGTTTTTGTTGGTCGTGGGGCTTGAACTCTGGGCCTGAGAGCTATCTCTGAGTTATTTAACTCAAGGCAAGAGCTCTACCACTTGAGCCACAGCACCACTTCTGGTTTTCTGGTAGTTAAGAGTCTCATAGACTTTCCTGCCCTGGCAGGCTTTGAACCGTGAACCTCAGATCTCAGCCTCCTGAGTAGCTAGGATTACAGGCATGAGCCACCAGCGCCCAGCTCAAATCCGGTATTTTCGAGGAAAAAACAAATAAGAAAGCTTTCCTGGAGAAGCTCTTAAGTAATTTTGAAAAATCAGCATGATGTTCCTTTTTCTGTGTACTTCTCTTCCAAGTCTACAGATATTTATTAGGGGTCAACATATGCAGTTATATTGTTAATATTACATTTGGAAGTATATGCAAATCAGGTTCTCAGTTGAAAGTTGTTACAAAAAGTTTTTAATAAGGGGAAGTTTGAGTCAAAGGTCTGTGGAGAGAGGATTTTCTCCTAAAACAGTGGAACACCAGTTGCACCAATGTTCTTAAATGGTAGTTCTAAAACTCAGATTCTGCAGATTGCACTCAATTATTCACACAAAACTTTATTTTTTTGCCTTTAAATTTATGCTGTTTAGAAATTTTCCCTCTGATAAACCATAATTAAAGACAAATGCTCTATATGTGCTTACCAGACCCATTAAATGTGACATTAAAGAAAAGCTTTGAAAGGTCAGATTTGAAAAACAGAATGCAGCATATCTGGATTTTGTGAGACAAAAAATGGAAAAATTCAGCATAAACTCTTAGATTTATCAATCTGTTGTCCGATACTTATAGAGGTCAGGAAAATGTCTGAAAATTATGTACCAAAATATGAATGTGATAAGTTATCAGTGATAATTAAATG